TTGTGCCAGTCACAAAAATGACCCAATGCAAAAGTGCACAACATGCGGGAAGAAAATATCATATCATATTTTGTTTGGTGAATGAGGCACGACCATGGTCGCTGTTGTTGGCTCGATGGCCTGGACAATTTTATGGATATGACATTTTAATGTTCAGCATTTTTATTGCGCCACTGCATTGTGAATGGGAAATTCAGTGCGCTAGTCTCTCGTCTCTCTCGGTGTGTGTCTGTGTGTTTTTTTCCGGCATGCATGCTGTAGTCATAAAAGCAAGTGGTCTTCCTCTCATTCTCTTTTTCTCTTGTCACATTTCCTTATCGTCTGCACAACGTCCGCATAAAATGCATTATTATGCAATAATAGAAGAACTTGGTTAGTAAAACCGCAAAACGAAAAATGATTCGGCGATAAGAATCTAACAATGGTTTTGCATTTCACAGCAACGGCAGCAGCAACAGCTAACCCTAAATCCAAACAGACGCGTCATGCACAAAAAAGGAATGTTGGCAGCGGCATGCAAACGCCGCGCATTCTCTTCAACAACACAAAAACACACACTGTTTGAATGACCGAAAATGGTCAGAAGCAATGTAACTGCGAACGCATAAAAAATGAGATATGAAAGAAAAAAATAAATAAATAAGAAAACAAGGAAAAACTTTTTTCTCGCTTGGTTTTGTGTTTGTGTGTAATAAATACGAAATTGTCTACCGCCCGCAGTAATTTTCAACAAATATGACAACAACACACAGAATGGCTCTCGGTTCTATGCGAAGTAATCAGCTTTTTAACATTTTCTATTTTCACAACGGAAACATTCTGCATGAAGGCGCCCAACACAATCGGCCAACAAATGCAAATACAAACTATGTAGAACGTTCGATATGTAGAAAAAAAGATCGAAGCGAATATTTTATAGGCAATTTCCTATAGCAATTGAAACAATAAGCACTGATTTCCTTCAGTGGTCTCTTCCTGATTTTCATTGAAGGGGCGAGCAGCTGGAATCTGATAAGTTGCATGCTACTGATATGTCAGTGCCCAAAAATCTCTTTTACTCCATACACACTCAATTTATATAAAGCAGAAAAAATATAAGAAAAAAAACAATGAATATGTCACATGAGAGCAAATCGACCCCATTTGGAAAAAAATGCATGCATCGAATGTGTGGCCATGTCACTCCTGGATTTCCTTACGATAATCGATTGCGGTGGTCTTTCGCTCTCTTTATCTCGTCTCAAAACTGATGCTATTTTCCATGGTGTTCAAACCACTAAACAGATCTTTTTCACATTTTTCATCTTATTTATTTTAATGCGAAAGAATATCCGATACGGGTTACGGCTCTCTAACGAACTGAAAAAAAGTCTGTTGAAATGTGAATAAACATGAGATTTAACAGTAAGCGGACACAAGATGAAAGATGATATGGAAAAGGGTGACTTTGATTGAAAAAAAAGAGTCCGTGAAGAAATTCACTTGGCCGGAAGGGTCAAACTTCGTTGCAACATCTTTTGATCGGGTGACAATAAGTAGCTCTCAACATGATCCAATACACAAACATCTATGCGAAACTTTGATGGATTTGTTTATGATTGACCGCAAAATTGGGGAGGGGAAAAATGTCGAAAATTGCATGTAACTTCTAGTGTTATGTAAATTTGATCATAAAAACCATGTTCGAAAAAATCAACATCCATACGCCAATCAAATGGATACGATAACATATTTATTATGTGAGTGATAATGCCCATAAAAAATGTATATCGTGCGATATGAATCAACTTCGATGGCTAACTGGACAGAAAAAAAGGAAAGTAGTCATAAAAAAACAGCAGAAAACTTGGGGTTGATCGATTATATGTATATTGAATAGCATTGTGTTGAACACAGTTTATAATCACATTTGCCTTATTTGGCTAACTGAAAAGAAATCGCTCGCCGAGTGAAACTTACCCCAAATAGTATGCCAAGGACTACTTGTTGAATTGCATTTGATTCAACAACAAAACCAAAAGGAATGTATTCCATCAACAATTTTTCTTTTCAATTGTACACTGCGACATGCTTACTATTCATTGCTTGGTTTGTTTATGTAAAGCAAAAGCTGTGAAATGTATTTATTACCGTAAATATGTTAAATGAAACGTAAGCAAAGCGTACATATCGTTTGAATTGGATTGAGAGTTGGAGGATATCAGAGCAATTGATTGAAATGGTAAATCGCTTCGATGAGCACTAATAATGCGTTCAACAAAAGAAATTGGTCCGCACGTTCAAATGTGCATTGAAACGCGTGTGGGTCGGAAAATTACAGAGTACCAGTTAACCTAGTTCCGACGGTAATATTCATAACGGAACCGAAAAACTTTGTAAAAAGTGATTGAAAAATCCGAATGTAACTGACAGATGGAAAGTTTTACCGTTTGCTGAACAAATGCTCGTACAGTTTTGAATCGGACATCGCGAATACGCGTTTGATACGCTAAAAAAATTTCGATAAAATATTGACGGCATTAATATTTGAAATCATCCCTCCAAAAAAGCGATATCTAATCTCAGTTTTGTGAAGAGACACTGACTGCTAGGGACAACGGTCCAATATTCGATTTCATCCAGCCAAATCACAATATCGATTCCATATCTGAGTCACGTCCACGTTGCCATTGCCGAGCATTGTGTGCTTTGCTTTGTGGCGATATGAATTTTTCAAGAAAATATTTCGGTTCCGTTACAAATTCAAATTCAAATATGTGGCCGCTGCAAGCAGATGGTGTCGTTTAACACAGCATATTTTTACGATTTCTCTTTTCTTTGCACAAGCAATATCACCGAAATGAGAGCACTTTTTTTAAATTGACAAAATGAGAAATCTGAAAATATCGGACATTTGTGACAATAATACCAGAGTAAAACTAACATTTCGAATATACGACCGATGGTAAAGCCAATAACATCTTGTTTCTTTTTTGTCATCTCGTGCATGTTTGACATCAAATATCCATGTCCTTTCGATGCAAAAGATAAATCATTATGGTGAATATATGGATGCTGTTGTTCTATATATGTGCGCAAACCAATAAAAATGGCCAGAATAACACCCGTTGCAACATTGTTTTAGCTTCGCATGTGTTACACCCATTGGCAAAAAATATTTTAAATTCAAAATGGAAAATCGAAATTTGGTGTAGTGTTGTATGTGTGTTTGGTGAAAGCGTGTGAAAAATGCATGCTACTCTATCGAATCACCCTCGCACTCTTCACGGTTTTGCTGTTGGCGAAACGCATTTTCCTCGAGGGTGTTAATGACTTTGCAACATGTTCACCACATAATCCATTGATAGTTGCCATTTTGTGACCACAGCCAAACACAAACCATCATTTGCTTCGTTTTATTAAATTTAACAATTTTAATAAAACAAAAAATAAATTCAAAAGCTATTCCGTGCATTTGCGATCCGAGTTGATTAACGATAGACCCGATTGACGGTTTAATGCCATAAATTTTTTCTGTTGTTGCCTGTTCAAAATCTCCTATAGAAATGTTCATTGTTAGCAACTGTCATAGTCGAAAAGCAAAAGTGTGCTCGAAATTATGGGTTCTTTTCAACAAAAGTGAAACGAGAAAAAATAGTTTTGAATATCCTTTTCGGATGTCATCACTTTTTCCAATGGAAATATGTTGAGCGGCGAAAGTTTGATTTCATTTTATTGTTTGCTCCTTCGATTTCTACCTTTTTTTCTTATTTCCTTCTGACGTTGTTTTATGTAATGACTTGTAATCGAGAGGCCTGTTGCTGTGCACACGAATGTTGATCCCAACATAAATATTACCCTCAATTAATAATTCTAAATGCGCGTGACGATCGTGCTTCCGTTTTTTCACGACTTTTTTTTTCTCTATATCCCTCGTTCTCTCTCGTTCGAATTCGTCAAATGCGTCAGACTTGAAGAGTGTACAATTTTGATAGTTACCTACACGTCGTTTACACCAAATGGGCGATCTGTTAAGAGAAACCAAAGAAAAAACTGTTTGTCTCTTGTTCGTTGTTTTTTCTACAGTCTTTGTTTAATTTTTGAGCACACGATGCTGATCAGCTTTCAATCGTCGACGGATGTAGGCAACGCATTTATTGAATGTTATCTATTATTTCCCTTTTTTTATTTCGTTTGTCTCTCCTTTCTCCGGAGTGGAGGTAAAAAGACGAAAACCGTTCTTAGAACACATTTCGTCAGCTTAACTGCGTTTGTGGATCTATCGAGTCGCTCGCGCGCGCGTGCTCATTTTAAAAACTTTACGATTTTTATGATGCACACCCTTTTCTCTGTTGTGATATATCAACTGTTTGCCGGCTGCTGGTGCACATCAATACAGTGAAAGAGGGAGAGAGAGAGATAGAAAAAAACTCACCAGGATAGAGTGAAATGTATTGTTGTGCATCCTTTCGTATCATATGGACTCAAGCACAATGGTTCTTTATTATTTTGAATACCATCATTTCATATCGAAAAAAAAACGCTATATTATCGCGCTAAATGCATGCTCGCGCAGCTAGAAAAACACATCCACGAAATAATAATTTCGAAAATGTAGTTATTATCCACTGTACAAACAGTCGCCAGTGACGCCCTGTCTATATAGAATGAGGTGAAAAGAAATGTGGAAATGAATATCAAATTAGATGCGCGTGGATAATGAAATGAAAGTCGCAGTTGCACTCGAACGCTCAAACCTTATTACGTCCACGGAATAATAATTAAGTTTAGATGCGTTCATCTTGCGCTCTAGCTTTTCCATATGGTTCGATTTTCCAATCGTTATTTTACTCGCTCGTTTGCACTGAACTGTATGCCGAAAGGGTTAAATAACTGTTTCTAATCGAATGGTTTCAATCCCGCTTTTTTTGAATATTTTTTGTGGTCATCTAAATTTTTTCTTCCGTCGAAATTCTATTTAGAATCAATATTTTAAACTTTAATCCTTTTATTCTTTTCAGAACCCATCAACTACGTCTGTTCGACATGCAAAACAAAATTGAGTTCAGCATGGCGTCTCGTGCAACATGTTCAACATGCGCACGGCGTTAAAATCTACGTAGAATCATCGAATAAGCATTTGATTGAAGCCCAATTGCAACAACAACAACAACAACAACAACAACAACAACAACAACAGCAACAGCAGCAACTACAAGACAAAGAAAAAGACAAATGTTCAAAGAATTCCAGCTCATCGTCCGATTTGAGCAATGCAAGCAATCAATCGAATTCGATATCGAATCAGAAACCAAACGACCAACAAAATGCAGCGCTTTTAAGACACCACCCGTTGTTGCCGCCACCAGACATGCACGGCAATCCATTCGGTTTGCTGCGCATGCCATTGCCGCCACCGCCAGTTGGTCCATTCTTGTCACGATCACATCATGATTTCCGCATGGAACAACTCGTCAGCGAACAATTCCGTCATCATGGTCTCAATTTGGCAGCAGCCGCAGTTGCTGCAGCCAATTCCCTTGCTCCACACAATGCGGGGTTTCAATCGCCTGGAAGTGAGCGACCAGCATCGACTGGCGGCCGAGTCTCTGCATCAGCTTCAAATCCGAATCTCTCAATTGAACCACAAATCGATTTTTATTCACAACGATTGCGCCAATTGGCCGGCACAACGAGTCCAGGAAACAATTTAGCAAACGCAAGCTCACCAAGCCCACAAAAACAGCAATCACCAACGTTTGCTAGCCCATCACCATCGCAATTGCCACCGACTCCGTTGACAAATAACTCACGGCCGCAGAGTTTGACGCCACCCGAAAAACACACAACTGATGTAAACAACGATGAAGCTCGTACTATCATCACAACACCACGTTCGGCATCCACACCACCAAAGGAATCGCAATCGAACGATGGTGTGCACGCTTGCGAATTTTGCGGAAAGAAATTCCGATTCCAAGCCAACTTATTGATACATCGACGCTCTCACAGCGACGACAAATCGTACAAATGCAACAGCTGTGATTTTACCTGTTTCCAAGCATCGAAATTAAAGCAACACTTGAAAGTGCACGCAACACCAGAGGATCGTACCAGCAACGCTGGTTCAGTTGAGACATTTGACGGAGACGAATCGAATCCCGAAGATGAAGAAGATGTCGAAGAGATCGACGACGAAGAAGATGAAAATGAAGAAATGGAATATGAGGCTGAGGACTTGAGCGTTGGCAGCAAGAGCGAGAAGCAATTCGATATGAAACGTGATTTGCTCATGGGACATCCACCATCATCGTTGGTTGGTGAGCTCATGGATAAGTTCGGTTTGTCGAACATTCCACAGTATTCGGAAGCATTGAAACAGGCATGGCAAGAATCCAACAAAGCACTTCAAATGCAATTATCAATTAAAGATCGTGACAATAACAATAGCAGTGCAATGGCTCCACTTTCCGACAAACTTAACGGTTTGCCGGCCGCATTGCGCTTACGCGAAGAATTCGCAAAGAATATGCTACAATCGCAACAAGCACAAACACCAAACCAAGTACCAATGTACAATCCGAATCCATTTGAAAGCCCGTTCGATTCGGCCAAACGAATGAAACTCGACAACAACGAATGGTGGTCATTGCCCGGATTGCACCGCAACGATCCGTTCTTCGAAAATCTCAAGGCAAAAACGCACAACATCATCCCAACGTCGACGGCCAATCTCATGCACAATCCGTTGATGAAAAAAGAACACAAACGAAATGATACGTGCGAATACTGTGGCAAAGTGTTCAAAAATTGCTCAAACTTGACAGTACATCGTCGTAGTCACACCGGCGAAAAGCCGTACAAATGTGAATTATGCTCGTATGCATGTGCTCAGAGCAGCAAACTAACGCGTCACATGAAGACACATGGTCGTTCGGGTAAGGACGTTTATCGCTGCCGATTCTGTGATATGCCATTCAGTGTTCCATCAACGCTAGAGAAACATATGCGCAAATGTGTTGTGAATCAGAACAAGCATTTGAAAAATATGTCAGCGGCCAGTGGATTGAATCCACACTTCCCAATGCCTCCACTTCCAACGCTGGCCGCAATGAATGCCAGCCTATGCAACAGCGTTCCAAGCATCAACGATGACGACGGTGTAACGAATTTATCGGCCCATGCCTCATCCAGTCTATCGACGCCAGTATCGCTGCCGACGTCAGCACTTTCATCGCCGTCATTGTCATCACTATTACCTCAGCACCATCAACAGCAACCGATGTCTATCAAAGAGGAAGCTTGACTTTATTCCAATTGGGCAGCTGCTTATCGTTTGCCTCCAAATCGAATGATGTCAAGCATCTTCTAACGATCGAAAACTGAACATAAACGTTATTTATTTTGAAAGGAAAAAAAAACACAATCAATCCCTTGCAAATGCGGCAATACACATCGGTTATTAGATATTTATAATTCGTGTGCACTTTGAGAAAAACAAAATGAATCATTTTTATCATTATAATTATTATTATCATTATTATTTTCAGTAATCAAGTATTTTTTTAGTTGAATTCGTTTTAAGAAAAAGCAAAAATCACCAGCTGAATTGAAGAGAAAAAAAGAAATGAAATACAGAGGCATTAATACCAAAGTCAAAGAAATGAGGCACATCTCCATTTTAATAATTTAATGATGATTACGACAGTAAATCGAGAGGAATCATGCAAAAGAAACGTAATTTTAAAAAGACATATTAAATACATAGTTAATTGAAATGATAAAACATTTAGCGGGCAGAAATTAAGCATCACTAGGTACGTACTGTAAATATTAAATCCAATATAATCTAGATAAGGCATTTGATTATAATTCGATACATTGATATGATTTCAATGCATTCTGCATTTGCAGATCAACACACACACACACACAAACAACATTTTAAACAAATGAAAGTTCAAGACAACTTTTTAAATTAATGAATCCAATTTAATGAAAAAAAAAGAAGAAAAAAGAAAATCAACATTCTCATGTCTGTATATGTAAAGAAAAACTTGAACGTAAGACGAATTCAATATTAAACGTAGTGTCAATTGTATGAAAACCACACATACACATCCACTGGAGAAAACAATTAGTTCATTTTGCGAGAGAAAACGTTTCACTTTGCCCTTTTCACTCCTTTTCACCCTATACAAAAAGAAAGCAGTTTCAAAACCACTTGTTCGTATCTATTCTACTAGCAATTTTAAATCTAATTTAGATCGTATTCTTAATCGTAGTGTATTCTGTATAAAAAAAAAGATGGATTTTTAATAAAAATCACACATAAAGTATTTGAATCATTGAAAATCACCGTTTTCCCATTCAATTTATTTGTTTGCTTTCGTTTCATTTTTCTCCTCCTCCATTCGGTTGGCTTAATTTCTTTTTATTTTTTTATTTTTTGATGATAACGTTTTCGGAATCCAAATGCACGAGATTTGCTTGGCATATTAATAGACACACACGCAGAAAAAAATGCGATTCCAAGAATGCACTTACTTACTATGAAGTCCTTTCCTCGATTTTCCCCATCGAATATTGTTTTCACTTTGCCTTTGCGACACCTCATAGTTTCTTTTTGATTAGTTTTAATGTTGCAAGTTTTATTTATTCGTGTTTTAGTTAAACCGTACACTTGAACGAAAGGTAAACGCATACAGTTAAGTAAGAAATAAGGAGCAAATGATGTTGTTTTTACGTTCACAACAATTAAGCAACCTGGAAAATTAAGAATGCGAATGTATCGTTGTCTATTTGATAGAAAGAAATGGTGAAAGGAATACTTGGATAGAAAAGTTAAAGGTATTTAAAAATTGAAACAAAGAATGGTATTTCACTTGCGTGTGACTTTTTGATTTTGTTCGTTTCATTGTATTTTTTTAAGACTGATACAACTTTGAACAACAACAAATTAACTTGTTTTATGATTTCATTCGCTATTCAAAGTTATTTCGTTGATACAGTAAGCAACTGCACGCAAGATAAATCTTAATTGTTTGATTTCTTAAAATAGTTTTTACCAAAAATCTCTTTATTTACTTATTTTTATTCCTGTTATTCACTTAATGATATTCGATCACTTTTGAGCCTGCAGTTTATACGCATTGATTACAAAACTATGCGATTCGATAGATTGCAGTTTTGAAACGGATCAATTTTGACGAGGAAAATCGATAAGATGACTTCATGTTGTGGTATTCAATTCACCACAAACAGTCCCAATAGAAGTTTAAAAGAAAAGAAAAGGCAAGAAAACAAACAATAAATAGACGTTCTTCTTAAAAAAACAAATGGAATTAAGATTATCGACAAATGAAATTATATATCACTAATTGATAAGTAACAATGAATGATGTAGACACCGACACCTATAGTGTATTTGAATCTGTGTACAATTTTGTTAGACATAAAATGCAGTAATCAATTCAAACAACAAGATAATCCCATTGAATACTACATGATAAACGTAGATTCAATAACAATTAGACGTATTAATGAGAGAGAGACAAAAAAAATGTGAAAAAAAATATGCAAAACAGATCATTTAAATAAATTTTCGGAAAAATTTAAACACCTTTTGGTTTTGGTTCATTTCCATTTGATCACATTGGCTGAATTTGATATTACATTTCAGGTAAAAGAACAAATTGACATGAATTAGGGGTGTTTGAACACTCATTCGGGAACGCTACCGCTGAACACATTGTTCCGAACAAACAAAACGAGGCAAATCTATATTATGCAAAAATTTTAAGAGGAAAAGGTAATAGTCATAGCCATTAAATGACAAACTACAAAATAAGACAGGGTACTTTTGACATTAATAAAAACGAAATCAAATACATATATACGTGAAGATATTGTTTATCTAATCTCTAGGAAGAAAATATACCAATCTAATAGAATATCACATTCCAAATAAACTAACTAAAATGCCGAATATTCTCTATAACGAAAACGATCATTTCTTGGATTTGCCGAAAACTTCTACCTATAATTTCTCCACTCTTTAATTGAGGATTACGAACATGTTTCGTTAAAGAAAAACACTGGAACAAAACTGGCTATTGCAACAACGAGAAAACTAATAGGAAAACAAGTTTTAAGTGACCAAATCATATTTACTTAATTTTCATTGCAATTTTGATTGTTACTCACAAAACATGGTATAAAAACAAAATAAACATTTTACTGATCATAATGTAATCACACTGATTTCCACTTCATTGAACATTCTGCAATTCTATCATATTAGAATCATCCGGCTGGAAATTTCATTGTGTATCACATTGCATAATTTCAGGGGCTTCGTGTTATGTTAAATGCAGTCTATTTCCAGGTATGTGATGGAATTTTTCCAATTAGATTTCCAGGTAAGAAAGGTAAATGACTATATCTGTTGTAGCATAAATTCGGGCGCATTTTAGAATGCTTAGTTTATTCATGTTTATAATGAATTAAACGATATTATCAGCGTTCAATCGGTTCATTGGATTTTCAATTCAATATTGTCGAAAAAGCCAATCGACTGAGCCAATTCAAAATTGATACCACAATTCGAAATGAACGAAGCTTTTCGAACATATTTGCCAAGTGAATAACCACATTGAACATGAATCAATAGATGAATCTGATTAATGAAACGCTGGAGTGAAGTCATGAAAAGCAATTCAATTGTTTTCCTTTTACACAACAGAATCGGAAAAAGTCTAAACCAAATCGAAATAAATTAGCGCATATAAAGAGCACTTTTAGCGCATCTGTCTCGCATTGGCCGTCACTGTTTTCGCTGCCGTTGTTGCTGTTGTGTTTTGGCAATTCGCAGAGAATAACCACTGGCAAGAAGAGTTCATCGCTTATTTGTGCAAGTGTATGTGCTAGTGCTTGCAATTCACTGCCTTCGTGCCATACAAATAAATTTCTTATCATTATTTTACGCTAAAATGGATTTTGTAACCACCGAAATGGTGAATTTTAACGAAATTGCACCATCGAACGCATCTGTAGTGTTCCGGTTATTGATGCATGCAAACCAATGCGAGAACAAGGGTTCTGCTGCTGCCGATGCTGCCGCCACTGCTGCTAGAGACGTTTTATGATGCCACATTCGAGTTTATTTTTCGGTCGTGGCTCTTCTGGCGAACGACGCATATTGGTTTTTGAGTCGGCACTTTATCAGACAACACTTGCACAATATTGCTCACTGAAACAGACGCAGATTTTGAGAGTTTTTGCACTTGCAAAAATCATCGGCTTCAAATGCACTTGGTATCCAAACACACCCGCTCGCCAAATGAATGCATACCAAATTCGCAGAAAAAGAAATTCAATTTCATTTCTGCCCCAATGGTTTCATAATTAAATAGCACACAATGCTCCGATAAAAGCGGCTTAGAAAACTAGCGAAATGTGCAAAATGCACGCCATCACATAATTTCCATTCGATATTGATTCTGTGGTAAGTTTCAATCTTAAATTGCAATTTAGCCATGACTTTGGAGAATCTTCTGCGTTTTCAGTGAGTTTTGCGATGTTTTGGTCCGATTCAGACTACTAGTCGATTCAATACCCTGTTTCTTCAAATTATTTTTTTTTCTTTGGTTTTTTATTCAAAAAAAGTTATTCTTCCAAAAGTTAAACAAAGTCCCACCAAATAAGTTATAAGTTTTTGGCAACACTAATTCTTATACGATTACTGTGTATCTCACAATAAGCCTGTCGACACGTTCCCCTTCTACTTTGCAATGCGTGCGTTTATGTATGTATGTGCGGTAAACGTATGTGTCTAAGCCGTTTCCTGTCGTTTACATAATTCAACGCACTGAAATCCGATACCGAATCGTTGTGCGTTTTATTGTGTTCGACAGCAATCAGCAGTGTATTCCGCTGACCAATGAGAACGATTGTTTGTCCCCTACTGTACGAACTATTTATTATTGATACAACGCCGCAGGCAAACGTGCAGTTTCAATTGATACGAACAGCGAAACAAAAAGAAACCGACTGACCATTCACATTGACTCAGTTCGTTTGTAATCGTTGTTTACCGGCTCAACTCGGTAAGAGTGGGGATGTCAATACCATTCAAGCGGTTTCGTGCATATGTGTGACGTTCGATTCTTCAAATATTTTATTGATAGAGTAAGTTTTGATTTTGAACAATGATTTTAAACTAAAACTTGACTTAAAATATCTTAACAAGAAAATTGGTTTCAAGGTATCGAGTTATACAACATTATTTTGATCTCAGGTAAATTTTTTCCATACAGACAATTACACTGAATATTGGAACCTTTTTCATATTCAAATTTCTGTTAGATATAAGTCAGGTAAAAGTTTTTTTTCGGGATTCTATTCAAATTACTCTTTGCTTCATATTAAACTCGATATCATAATAACATTCTGCATAATTATAGGCAGTCAACATAGTTGTAGCGGAACTAGTTTCAACGGTCGCTCTTCATTCAGCTGCCAAGAACGTTTCTGTAATTTTTCAAAACACTGAGATACAAATTGGCCAAAAGTAATTTGTTTCCAGTATTGAAATTACGAAATAATTGCTGAACACTGTTTCATTTCGTGTTATTAAACTCTGATGTATGGCTTTCAAGTAATTAAATAATGAAGGCAGAAGCCAAGCACTTCAACCTGTGTTTACTTGAAAATTTGTGCAAACGATTCGAATACTCAAACGATAGAACTCAGCTCAATCAAACTTAAACCTCTCAATTAAAATGTGCAGTCGACGCAGAAATTATTCTTATTTTTTACTATGCAATTCCTTTAATTTTCAACCGAAATTATGACTATTTCTACATTTTCATAAATAATGTAAAGTTTCGGCCATGTTTGTTCGGGCGCAGACTTGATATGATTTATGCATTTAGTTCGGTGGGATATTTGTAGTTAGAGCGATATGTGATCACCATAGTTGTTTCCGTTTGCACATTATTTATTCGGGCAAATTAGCAAAGAGCAAATATGAATTGAATAGGATGAAAGTGGCGTTGGTGATTATCCGTATTACACTCGCAGGCCGTAGCACACAATGATATACTATATGAAAGAGCTCGAGAGAGTAAGAGAGAGAGAGAATGAATAAAAAGAGAGGAGATGCCGAGAAATGCAAAATAGAACCATCGCCATCAAATCCATACATTGCGCAAGTAAGCAACTACGGAAGCGACCGAAACGGAAAGCATTTATCATTAAATTTAAAAGGGTTAGAAAATCTCCAATGTGAATGCGCCTGTGTATTGCCATCATTTGTGCGTATGTAATGCTGTTTTGTCTTTGTTAGGACCCTTCCGCCTCGATTTTTAATTGAACGAACACGTCTACGGCGAGTTCCAAGTGTTAGAAAAACGGCCCAACGACAATTGCACACGCGATCTGATCCGCATGTGTGAGAGTTCGAGTGAAAGAGAGCATACACAATGAACAGACATATAACGGTGCTTTTGTTTGACTCACTGAGTGTACTGTATGTCACATCCGGATGACATTTTTGATAAGTGGTCTAGCTCACAGAATTTCTTTTTTTTTCTCTTCCATCATCCATCCACACAACAAACAAACACACACACGATATTCAATGCACACCAATGGACGTGGCATTTCATCGAGTGTCGGTGCCCCGAACATTTTGCGTATTCATGCTGACAATTAATCGTACATACATCGCAGTCAATACAAATAAACAATGGGCGCCTTTAAATTTGCTAAAACAATAGCGAATCAACAAAAACTTGAAGCAAATAGCGCACCAAAATGACAGCACAAGCATACACGATCCAAAGATATTAATAATGGT